TTTAACTGACAATTGTCAGTAGACAATAAGCATATGGTAGCTGACTTTGCACATGCAGACAACTGCAGCAGCGGAGGCACGGAGCAGCTGCAGATGCTGGAAGACAGCACTGCATTGATCTGCAGTTGGGAAGGTCATCTCGGTGATTGAAGACTGCGTTTTGTGGCTTGACTTTTTTTTAAAAAGCTAGAAAGACAATAAACTGATGCCTTATGTCCCTATTTCTAATGAAAAGCAAGATTTTTGAGTCCTGGTTAAAATAATATAAATACATGCCAAAACCCCACCTCCTGAAAGTAACATTCTTAATTAGTACTGGAGTCTTTGCTTTTTTCCTTCTCCTGAATTAGTAGTGACTGATATTATGACCATCAAGAACCTGATTAGCGAGAAGGTGTATTTGCTTGTGTTTTCAAAGCCATTTGTAGCAGAATCAAATAGAGATGAAGTGCCTTCCTGATGATTAGTATTGCTTTATGACAGTAAACTTAATAATGAGGGATGGTCTCAGTAGTTTCCTCTTTTGGGAGCCAATACCTCTGATGCATGGTTGGAAGACTTTGTGACTAAGGCAAAGGGCATTAATGTCACATTATACCTTTGAGTATAGTCGGGCCAAGTATGTGAATGTGAAATGAGGGCTAAAAAAAGTCTCCCTCTGAACCAGCTGCATCGCTGCCTGCACTTGACTCATAACTCAGTAACCATATGCTTATATTCCACTGACAATTGCCATTTAAATGTCAGTTTACAAGCAGATGTTGAGAACCTGCCTTTGTGCCATTAATTAAATCACAGAAAAGCAAAGTCTGAGGTTTAACGCTGCTTAGGCTAACTATGATGAGACTAACAGCAGAGTCCAGCAGACCGTGATGGACCAGGGCAGTCAGGGTTAAGTGGCACAGGCAAAGGAGCATGGACATGAGGTCACCGCAACAGCCTCAGTTAATGGGCTATGGCAGCCAAATAAAGCATGTTGCTGACATTTCCTAGTGACAGTTACAATTTTGTAGACATTTCCAAGTTTTGTGGGATGGCTGGCAGTGGCCAGGATAGAGGAGAAATGCTGGACTGTAAAAGGAGAAAGATTTAAGTGCTCAGGTGCAGAAAAAAAGGCAAAGACCTATTCAACAGAAGAACAGGCAAAATCTGGAAGGGTGGAGAAGGAAGCCCCCTCTACTCTACCAGACATTTGCATGTATTTAAAATCCTTCCCAATAAAGTTCATAATGAATTTAATTCAGTCCCCTATGGCCCAGAGGAATGTTCTGAGTAATAAAAAAGTATTGCTAAGGGACAGATGACTGCCAAACTCCTATTCTGTTCCAGCAATGCATATTTATATTATTGGCACTTAAACACGAGGTTTATTTTACTACATAAATGATCCTTTGCCACATACTAAGAATTAATACTGTAAGATCCACTTCTGGGAAGTTACAATAACAATTCCCAAATTTAAATCAGTTAAATTTGTATGCTTTATTTTTAAAGAGGTTTGGGGTGGGGTTTTTTTTTCAGATTAAAATAGTAGTTGAATGTGGTAATTCCTGGTTTTGGTAAACTATTTTGTGGCTGGTTTATGACTTAGCTTTTTAAAGTGGTTTTAGTCAAGGATCTTTTCATGCCTTTTTTTTTTTTTTTGTTACCTTGAAATATCTACATCAATGTTAAATGAATTGTAAGCTCAAACACTTAAAGGTTGAGACGTATTCACTTACACATAGTCAGCTAGGTAACACAAGGGCTCCTGGCTTCTGTTGGCATGGTCTAATGCACTTTTGATGATTAAACAGAGTGATTCAAACGTGTGTTGGAAACTCCAAGCACCAGTGATGGAGGTCACTGGACCACAGCATTACTTTGTTTATAAACATCATTATGCCATGGAAGATAAATCTCTGCTCTCATCTAGTGTGTCACTTCAGTGCAGTAGTCAGGACAATGGAAAAAAAAAATGGAGCTACTACTTTTTTTCACTTTAATAAGGAGTGGAAGGGAAAGTTGGGTATGAGATGAAATGGGAAGGAGTTTAATTCCTAGCAGGCAGCAAGCTCAAGGGAAAAATGCAGCAGTACTGGTGTAAGATGCAGTTTGGTTTACATTCAAGCTGATACAATGTTGTTTAAGCGCCTTCTGCACATTACAGTACAACACAAACTTCTACAGCCTGTGTACAAGTTCAAATTCATGGCAGCAGTAATTCAGTCAAAATACTTAATGCCAAGGTCTGAACATACAGCTTTTCTTCTGATACGCTTCAGTTTACTTCATAACTCCATGTCAAGTGTGAACAGTTGGAAAAAATATTGTGAATTTGTCAGCATGTTTATTTACATGGTGCATCTCCTTTGAATCCACAAGCATTTTTTTCAAGTGTAAAAATGAACAATTACTCATCCCAGGAAAACAACAAAGTTTTACAGACATCTCCTCCCACTCCCCAAAAGACTAACCTCACCGCACTGCGCAAGGGCACAAGCAGCTCATTTTTCAGTTGCTGTACACACAACAAAATATTCAGTTCCCCGGAACAAAAGTGTCTGAAGAATATAAGGGGGAATCTTAAGCATTTGGCAGTTTGAACTAAAAAGAAAGGTCAATGGCAAAGAATTCAGATACAAGCAAAAAATCAGACCTCTCAGAGCACTGCATTTGAGCTTTAAAACTGAATGCAGGCGTTGTTTGCTCACAGTGTTTCACAGCAGCATTCATAATTTAGGAAACTATTAACCAGCATGATGAAGTACCCTGTTTCTAACTAAGAACAAAAAAAATTACACTGTAGAGCTTATTTTCTTTTCCCTTGAAAGAGATAATCTGGCAAAATTTGACAAGAATTCTGCAGACCTGGGTTTGTGGGCTTTGCATTTAAGTTGCACGGGAGAAAAAGCCACAATGGAGCAGCAGCATCCTTTGGCTGCCTTTTTATAAGGCCTGTCACAAGTCACTGCTCAGGGCTCCTTATTTTCTGTTGGTCTGTGCCAGGACCGCTATCCCTGTATTTGTTATGCTGACAGCAGAGAAAAAAAGCACTGAAGGCTAGAAAATTTGCAGGACCAATACAAAATTCAGATCAGCTTTTGACAGAGACACAACAGGTACTGAAAAATGAGGCAAGAAGGCAGGGGAAGAGTAGCAGAGCTGAGTAAAGGGGCATGGGGTTGAGTAGGAATGGGAATGAGAATAAAGAGACTGTGGCTGAGGAGAGTTATGGTGGTTAAAGAACAGAAAATGGCAAAGGTAAATGCATTTATCACTTGCCTACTAAGAACAGCCTACCAGGGCTCTCAATCTAGTGCTATAAGTTTAAGATGCGCAACTTCCCCATCCTACCAAAATTACCGCAACACTGATTACCAAAGCAAATGATCAAAAAGACAACTTTTATTTGGTAGCTCATTCAGTGAGATCGTAAATTTGTTAAAGTAATTATAGCTTTCATTAACAAAATTAATTTCTTAAAAAAAAAAAAAAAAGACATTTCATACCTTTTTTTTGCTTGGGGGTGGTGGTGAAGAGAACTTGAACGCACCTTGTTTAAGCCTAGGCAGTTTCAAAGTTAGGAAAAATCTTTCTTCTCTTTTCTGCCCCCCTTCCCCGTTACATTCAGGTCTTCCCACTAGCGAAGTATCATTTTCCTGGCTTGAAAAATCAGTGTGCACTATTTCAGAGCTGCATTCCTACAGTGATCTGTTCAATAGGGGCAATCTGACTTAGTGTGGACAGGTAAGAATTAAAATGCTTCTGTTGAGAAAGGAGGCTAGACAGTGGAGGAGATTAACAATATAACAAAAGTCTACTGGAAGTGAAAACTGTGCACCATCAGGATATTCTCTAATATTTTGTGCCTCTGCAGCAGGGAAGCCAACCTGCAACTTCTGCTCCCTCTAAGTGTTCATATAAGGCACGTTTCCTGCAAAGAGAAAAACAAAGTGGAAACGGTAAACTGGTGGCTGTATTGCATTTCAGAAGTAATGCTTGGTGGGGGGAGCACTGAGAGGAATTATTTTGTGTACCTGGTATTTCATGCAAGATGTCAGGCTTTCCAGCGCTTACATGCACCAGAAGCAGTGGATGCCAACGGGGCTCTTCCCCCTGCTCGGTCTCCTGCCTGGGAACAGAGCCTGCTCAAGTTCACCCATACATTTCTTCAGGGCTGCCATTTTGAAGATGGCATCAGCGCTGCTACTCTAGTGAGCGCCAGTCCACTGAGGCAGAATTTTCAGAGATCCAACACTTAAGTCACCCCCTTTTTAATGCCATTAGTGATGTAGCAACAGGTATTTATATTTACATATAAATACAAAATGGTCAGATACCACATTTTTAAGCATAATTTATAATCTGAAACTGCTTACACTTCAATGACTAGGCTTGGGTTTTTCTCATTTACATTCATAATTTAATTCCACTGGAATTTGATTTTTAAGAAAGCCCAACATATCTTAATTACCATAAAAAGATCCATACATATTTTACTTAAAAATATCTTCTGTAAGAGGAAATTTACCAAAAATAACACGAAATATATTATTATGCATACATTTTCTTTTTTTGTAAAGTACAAACAAGAATCTGATCTCTTCTGGGTATTGCCTGATCTAATATGGCTATAGGTTCTATTTATTTTGTTTGCTTTTCAAAGTAAAGGGAAAGACATAAGAAATGTAAGAACACAAACCAAAATAAAAATGCATTCTTTCCAAAGATACAGATATCAATGAAAGAACACTTTGAAAACTAATAAATGACAATAGGTACAAAGAAACACTATCCAAGCACTATGCAGTCTTTTGTCAGAGCATGTGCTGCAATGACCTTGTAACAGTTATTAAAAACAACAAACAAAAAAATGCTACTGGCAGAAAAAGCTGTCAAGCAAAACACTGAAAAATCAGTACTATTTCCTAACAAGTAAGTGCAGAACTGATACTAAGTATTTTATGGTATTTTTCCCCTGTGTATGCACACCTCCTTCTTCCTCTTTCTGTTCACAGGACTGATTGTTGCAACTCTGGCAATATGCTGGATGCCAAACCAGGTTAGAAGGATCATGGCTGCTGCTAAACCAAAGCAGGACTGGACTGTCCCCTACTTCAGAGCGTACATCACTCTTCTTCCCATCGCCAATACCTTCTTCTACCTCAGCTCGGTGGTGAACCCCCTCCTGTACAACATCTCTTCTCAGCAGTTCCGCAGCGTGTTTCTGCAGGTCCTCCGCTGCCACCTGACAATTGAGCATGCCAACAAGGAGAAGTTTCTCAGAGCCAACCTGAGCTCCAGAGAAAGGAGCACCCGGTCTCTACGCCCGCTGCTCTTCATTTCGTCTAGGCGCAATTCTTCTACAAGGGGCAATAACAGAGTTTTCTTAAGTACTTTTCAGAATGAGACCAAGCCTGACTGCAGTCCACAGAAACCAGGTCTTGAACCATCGGAGCCCAGCTTGGAAGTAATGCTGCTAGAGACTAGCTCAGAGCCCAGTCCAGGAGCACAAAACGGCCTTTGTGAACATCGAGTATGACTTCATAAGGCAAAGTTAATGATTAGCAATGAACTTAAAAAACATGGAAATTAAAATGACTGAGGAATTGACTGCATCTTAAAAGGAGTAACACAGATGGACTTGTTTCCAGTTATGCAAAAAGAGCAGGAGTTTTGTATCCTGCTGCTGGGATTTTTAAGTGCACACTGGAAATTCAACCGGCTAACTGAATTCATTAGCTGCCAAAAATATCAGCCCCCCCCTCTCCCCACAAACCACTGAACTTCCCTCACTGTTGACAGGGATCTGGAAACAAACAGAAAACAATTGCAGTGTCTTTGAAGAAAAGAGGAAACAGAACAAACTGTGTCAGGGCAAAAAACTTGCTTGAAGTTTAGCAATACAAAAACAACAGAGCCAATTTAAGGAGCAGAACGGTGGTTATCACGTGTGCCCTCAGCACTACGCCAGAATTCCCCCTCTTCTTTGGCCGGGGTCCATTGCAGAGCGGAGTGTTGCAGCAGCTGATACAAACAGAGTTCACCTTCCCTGGAGAACAAAAGGACTGGTACCCAGCAGATGCTATCAGACACGCTGCTGAAGACGCGCAGGATTTGCGATACATGATTCCTGTGACACAGAGCAAAGGTTACTTAGTTTGGTATGAATACGGTTTTGCTTTACAACACGATTCATGCTTGAAAACTGCTGCAAAACCAGTTTACATTTCCAAGGCAATGCTGGTGATTAAGCCAGACACCTCAACTGTGACATGGCTAACAGCTCTGCACTGCAGGAGAAGCACAGTCACTCTGGTTTGGATTTTTCTTTTATTTGATTCTGTTGGAACCAAAAATATTACAAACTTGATTTACATAATGTATATCAAATGATGCATTTTATAACCAGAATTCTTAATCTTTTGGAGTAAGCTGTTTGAATAGCTATAACTGAAATGCAGTTAGTTTGCAAATGACTTTTGTTTCTGTTGCTGAATATGGCCGAGTTGTTTAAGGTGTCTAAGTAATTACAATTTTCTATGCTGTTAATTTGTTTTTTCAGCATTGTTTTTTTACTTTTCTTGTTCCTTTGCCACACAGAGACGAGTAACCAAGAGTAAAAGGAGAATGACTATCAGCAAAACTTTCATACCGCCCTCCCCCCTTTTATATTTTTAAAGAAAAACTAGAAGTACTTTCCAGGTAATCTCAGTTCTTGCTGTCTTTGAAGCTTAATACCCTCAACAACAAACATTTCCATTTGTACAGAAATGGCTTTTCTGAGTTGAAAGTCTTCCCTTTTAAAATGTAATTTAAATTAATCTAATTCTAATTAATAATCTAATTAAATTTATAATTTCCCAAATTGTTTTTACCTGAAAAAAGTACATTCTGATGCACATAGCTGTTATTTTAAAATGGTTTATAAAGGCTTTAAAACACATAGTTGCATTTTCCTCTGTCGTAGTGGAAAATGGTTGTGGCAGTTCCACCTCTCATTACTCTAAAATTTTCCTGCAAGTGATATAGTAGAAATTGTGTGTTGGAAAAACTTAACACATAAATAGATAATGAAGGTTTGCTGATATTGCCATGCGGTTACAAAAACAGGTAAATATTTCTAAGGATAATAAAATCACTATTCCTTTTGAATATGGGATTTGCAAGATTTTTTATTCTTCTGAAGGGCATGGGAACAGGATTCCCTTGGAGAACAGTCCCTCTGCATCCTGTAGCACGGTCCCAGAATGTTTTTAAATACACAGCGATCAAGACACTTTTTGGAGGGAGTGAAGCAGGAATATGACCCGCAAGTACTGAACTTAGAGATTCTTGTTCAGTCCCCAGAGACTTCGGAAATAAGCACTACAGCACCTACACAGTCCAGCAGACACCTCTGCGGTAGCGACTGCCACTGCGCTACTAAGTGCCCTGTATAGCAGCAAAACACTGTTTGGGTATGCTCAGAAAGAAGGATTTCCTGTCTTCAGAGAATTTTAATTAAAGCAATTCTTTTATACTGTCACAACACTGATGCCATCCCAACAATGCAGGGGTTTCCCCATTTTGTGTTCTCCCTCTGCAAATCTAAACTCTGAAACATGTTTTAAGGCTATCTATCTAGTTAAACTTCGGAAGAGAAGCCCTCGAGTCAAAGTTAAATCTTCCTCTGTCTCCAGTGAGCTTCAATCAATCAACACAGCAGGTAGAGCCTTTTCCCAAGAAGGAAGAGGAGCTACAGGCTGTTCTAGCTGTAACAGCAAAGGCACACCGATCAAGAGGCACAATCTCTATTACTATAGTTTGCAAAAAGAAGGGAGCTCTGTCTCTGTTGACAAACCACTGCTGTCAAGGAGCTCAACTGTGCTGCCACTGATCGGCTTACAATACTGAAATCTCAGCTGATGTTTCCCACAAAGACCTGGTCCTTTGTCCGTGGTTCTCCTGCAGTCTTCCAAGAGCTAAGGCAGACATGACCCTTCCCATGGCTACGATTAACTTTCTTCCTTCCCCTTCCCTCTTGAGAAAGGAATCCTGTATCAATGGAGCTAGGTACAGCCATTGTTCTCCCACCTCTAATCCCGCATCTCCTCATCACATACTTCTTCCCTGCAGCTACAGCCGCCCAAACTCAGCCGTTCCGCAGTCTTCCATACAAAGAGCAGTGAATCTCAACTTTCCCCGCAAAGACCAAGCCTCTAAAAAGCTTTTGACACTGGTGGACTTCCTATTCCCATTGTTTTATAGATCACTCTCTTCCTGCCATTTCCTTTTCACAGGATTCCTGTGAAGCCCTGTTCACAATTTGAACTAGTAAGTGATTTATTAGTTTAGGTCCCTGAAATATCATGTACTTTGCACTTTTCCTGTAGACAAGGAAACTAGAATTGTTCAGTGCTGTGAACAATTAGATAATGCCCTCTGAGGCACAGTTTTCACCAGGCAACTCTAGGAGACCTTTCCGGCAAAAAACATCGAAGTCCTGCAGTTTAACACCACGTGTCTACAACAGCTCTGTTCTCCAGGATAAATTCCAGAGAATCCTGAGCTCCTTTTGAAGTCAAAACAGAGTATTCCTGCACAGACCAAAATTTTACAACTCAAAGTTTCAGGCACAGATGGACCATGTCCATGCCTAAATAGAGAGAACAATCTAACTAGTAAAATCCCATTTGTAACGCTTCTCCTGGGGCTTTTCTGTAAATATGTCTTATAATAGGAAATTCCACTCCCAAATGATTTGTTTATTCCCATTCCCAGCTCCAGTAATCTGAATTGTAACAAGACTCTTTAAATAATTAAAAAATTCAGCACTTCTATCAGTTTTCAATAGCTATTGGCTAAAGACATGCCCTTCACCTCCAAGTTTTTTTTTCTTTAACTACTGATAGATTTTTTTGAGCTCACGAATCAGCTGCTACCACACACTAACTGCTTTTTACAAACCATCAGGTATGAACTAAACTTGATCAACACAGAAGGGCTGTGCTTTTTCTCTAATTTTTGCAGTATCCTTATAGCAAGATACAATGAAAACAGGCATAGAAGACCGACGGAAAAAAGAGAGAATGTTAGCACTATGGGAGTGACGTTTTAAACCACTTCAGATGTGATTTCCCTTTTTTTGTTTTTTTTTTTTTTTTACCATGGATGTGAAAAAGCAGTGACACTTTAAATAGTATGAATTAAAGAAAGGCAGGAAAAATACTGTTAAACCTTCTTCCTATCACATTGTGATTCCAGTTCAATTGTGGTAGGAAATAAAACTAGTACAACTGACTTCCATGGTTTGATGCCAGGGACACTGCTCTCCTTGCTCCAGCAAACAGGTTAATGTACCCTGGTTACCACAGTTCACCCACTCAGTTCAGACAGGAGAGCAGCATCCTTTCTGGATTTTCTCTAGAGATTTTTTTCCTCAAGACCCTCTCTCGCAGTGGTTTGTTGTACTGTTGAGTCAGTTCTGAAACTACTTCTGAGATCTTCCTGAATCATTTGCCACCAGCAGGCTGAACTGCAGGCAGTTCTTCAAAGTGGTTATCTGCCTCATAAGACTCATACCACAGACATAACTGCTAATTACCGGATATTCTTGCTTGAGCAATCAGCTTGATACATTCATTAACACATCACCTAGAAATATAATTGCAAACCTTTCTGGGAGCTTTTCTTCTACCTACCTCAGATTGTTCTGAGCTGCTGGCTAGGCAAGGAGACTACACGTTTTAAACTCTGCTTTTCCTGGGATGGGGTCATTCCCAGCTACCTACCTTCAACAGTTTACAGCAGTGCTCAATTAGTATATCTACTAATATACAATTAGTGTATTTACTGCCCAATCTCTTGATGGTTGAGTACCAAATAATTTGTCCTTTTTCGCGGATTCAGCAGCCCCCCAACAGTGTGCGTTACACATATGTGTAGGTACTATCATGATGTTTTACTATGAAGTACCTACTACTGACCAATTGATTCTCCTTCATTTTGGCTTCAAGGTTGTGGGGCTGGCTGAAGATGTAGTTCAAGTACTTTTAAGAAGTGAGGGGAGTATGCAAGGCTAGATAGAATATCTGTGTGATAATGCAGTGGTATTCCACACCCTCTCCTTCCACATACACCTACTACAACTACTTTTTTTAACACGGGGGAAAAAAAAAAAAAGCTTTGGGCTTCAATCGGGCATTGAAAATTTACTCCTAGACTGAGCAACTTGCCCATCGTGACACCCCTCTCTTCCCCACATGGGATTGTACATTTAGATAGCATCAAGGCCCAAACTACTATTCCTGCAGGATTTTTGCCTTATTCCATGCAATGAAGTGATGGTATAAATCTCAAGGCTTTTCTACAGTTCCTGCTTGTCATATTGATTTTCTCACCTAGATCCGTTCTATACACACGCCCCCCCCCCGCCCAGCTCGGCCCCCCCCCCGCTTAGCTGCAGTCTAGTGCATCTGCACCCTGGCAATGTTTTGGCCACACTCAGATGCATTCAGTCTTGACAGCAACAAACAATTCATGATACAATTTATTCAAATCCAAAAGTGGGAGTTCTTCCACTTACCGTGGCTGCAGAGCCCAGTACATGTTCTCTTGAATAACAGCTTAACTTGTTACTAGGACAACCAAAAAAGGTGACATCACACCTACTTCTTAACGCTGTATGTATGCAGAAGGCACCAGAAGATCCAAGCTTTTTCTCTTACTGCTTGAAAAGGATCTTATTAGGCACCTCTGATTCTTCTGTTATAGCAGGTACAGAAAAAAAAAGAGCAAGTGTAAGCACAACTCTCCAACTTAAAAGCCAACCATAATCCAAGCAGTGTGCAACTTTAGTTAGCACCTGTACTCTCAAGACCGTCCTTCAGCGAAATACAGTCTCTGAAGCCAAAACAGGCAACTAGGATACCACCTCCGAGATCAGTGACCTAATTTCTAAACAAGACAGTCACCTTCCCACCCTATGACCCGACTACTCAGAAACTGCCTTCTGCAATGGCACACCTGAGCAGCAAACTGCAGCCCTCTGCTTCACCCTAGAACAGTCTATGGCCTCCTGGGCACAAAACTCTTAGCTCTAAGTAAGTTTGACTCCTGTCAAGTAGACGATGTTGCTTCACCCAATGCTAA